ATTCCAAAGGGGAATTTGGGAATTGAGGTGTTTGCTGCTTACATTGTTGAATTTGGGGTTCTCTTACCAATCAGGATCTTCCTAGTTTATTTCAGAGCCTGGGAAATAAGTTAACAGACAAATTCAGTGGCTAAGTACCCTGGCAGAAAAGCCTGCAAGGCCTAGAGAGCTTTACCAAGACCCTTCAACCCACCCTAGGTGGCAGAGTACAGTTGCTGTGTCAAAGTGACACAACCAGCATCATGTCACTGTCCTCTTAAACTACTGGATTATCTAATCAAACACAGCAACTCTTTTCCAGGGGCAGCGGCTAACATTCACACATGTTGCCTTGACAGCATGCACAGAACTAGACCCCCATGTGAGGTAATCTCTATCTGACATCACTGTGAAAAGAACAGATAAGAGAAAGATTCAGGCAGTGGCTCTCACCTGGGGTGACCTTGCCCTCCAGGGGCATTTGGCAGTGTCTGGAGCCATTACTGTCAAATGCCATAACCTCACAGTGCTCCTGGCACCTTGGGAGCAGAGGCCAGAGCTGCTGCTCCATTCCTTGCCTTGCACAGGATGCAGAGAAGGATATGGCTCCAGACTGATGCCTGTGGTGCTGAGGCTGAGAAACCCTGGTAGGATGCAGTGCCAAGATTCCCTGCAGCTGCTCCAAAGATTGACCAGGATCAATAAGAGCATGCCAGTCACAAGGCTAGATGTCTTGAACACATCTCTCCCAGGTCTAGACAAGTGTGTGTGTGTGTGTGTGTGTGTGTGTGTGTGTGTGTGTGTGTGTAAAGGCAATCTTGGGTGTCCTCTTCAGTTACTCTCCATTTTGTTTCTAGAGACACTTTAATTTGGAACATGCCAATTTGTTTAGATTGGCTGGTTAGTGAGCAGAAATAACTAATGTACTCACCAAAGCATGGGGATCCCCAGTAGATTACAGTGTCTTGGTTGGAGGGACTTGGACATGTACTTTGCTTGTTTGAGATAGGGTCTCACTATGTAGACCAGACTAACCTGGAATCCAGAGATCTGCCTGCTTCTGCCTCCAAATGCTGGGACAAAAGGTGTGCGCCACCATGCTAGGCTTGAACACTAGTCACTCATTTTGAGGACCGTTTTCTTTTCTTATTCTTTTTTAAAAAATTGATTCTTTGCTGATTTCACATCATGCATCCTGATCCCATTCATCTCCCCACCTCTTCATATCTGCCCTCTGCTCTTGCACCCTCTCCTCCAAAATAAAATACAATTTAAAATGAAACCCTCAACCACTCTTGTGACCCTGGGACCAGCTTTCCTGCCTGCAGTCGGTGGTGAGGGGTGAGGGGGTTATCTCTCCCTTGGTCACACATGACAGTCAGGTAGTGGGGCTAGCTCTCCCATTCTCATACTTTCATGACCGGCTGACCTGCACCCCCATCAACAGGGTCAGGTCTATTGTGTTGCTCAGGTGTGGTGCAGGGCCCGCTCTCCCAAGTGCTGCAGCCAGTGAGGGACAGGGCCAACTCTGTATAGCTCTGTTCTCACTGCCTTCAGTGGTAACAGGAGCCACAGAGCTCACCACAGACCATGGATGCAGCAGGGCCATGGATCCAGACATGATCCTTGGCAGCAGCCCAGGCCCAGATGACACCATGGCCCAGGGTGGCAGCACAGGCCACTCAGATCTGTATGGCCCCAGCAGCTGCACAACCCTTAGACACTAACATGCCCCGCGGTGGTGGCCCAGACCTTTGACATCCATGTGGTCCTTGGTGGCAACATGGGCCATGGACATCAACACAAACTGTGGTTGTCTGAACCAACACAGGCCCAGAAATGGTCTTTGGCAGCAGCCTGGGCATCACCATTGATGACCAATTTCTTTCTTTCTGTTTTGGTTTTTTTAGAGACAAGGTTTCTCTGTGTAGTTTTGTTCTCTGTCCTGGATCTTGCTCTGTAGACCAGGCTGGCCTCAGACTCACAGAGATCCATCTGGCTCTGCCTCCCGAGTGCTGGGATTAAAGGTGTGTGCCACCACTGCCTGGCCAATGACCACTTTCTTAATTGACTGGTTTTATCCACCCCACATTGCTTTTTAGTGGAAGACACTGGTGGGAATCAAATAAACAAAAATGTACATCAGCAATAGGACATATAGTGAGTCAGTGAGGATGGGTACCCCAGTGATAGGACATATGGAGAGTCAGTGGGGAGACAATGGGTGATGGAACAGTGAGGTGGAAATGGCTGGGTCTTGTTTCGAGAGATTCAGCAGAGAAGGCATTTCCAAGGCCTTGGTGAGGACTGAGTGATAAGAAAGACCTGAACACAGGTGGATCTGGATAAGAGAGTTCAGGCAGAAGGAACCTCAGCAGCAGAGGTCTGAGGCATGGAGGATCTGAGTCTAGGGAACAAGGAGGAGGAAGAATACACTAGCTAAGGAGCCACAGACACAAAACTGTTAGAATTCCCTAGTTCAGGGGAAGAACAGATTTTTCTAAGATGCCGTGGGAAACCCTGCAGAGCTTTGAACAAGCCCTCACTGTCTCCTGCCTTCTGCTTTAAACAATTGTTGCCATGTGGAGAATAGATTTTAGAGGAGGCCAGTGTGAGTGTGAATGGCTCCAGCCAAAGAGGCTGAAACCTGAAGCTTTATAGAAAGACATTAAATCTGACCTCAAAAGATCAAGCTTAAATTTGAGAGATAATAGTTAATTAAAGAATTATAATCATGGTGTACTTTGATTTCCTGAAGTTAAGGACTTTCATTGCCTCTTGTTGGAGGGAAGGAGGAAGGATGGAGGGGGAGGGAGGGGGAGGAGGGAGAAGAAGAGGAGGGAGATACCTCCCTGGCACCAAAGGAAAGCCGTTGTCTATTACCTCAATTACCTGAACTAGAATGTGATAGTCCTTACCTTCAGGGCTCCTCTTGATTAGCATTCACTAAAAGTCATTTACTTTAACTTCAGTTCAACAGAAAAAAACGGAAAAGATTGTTTTAAAATTGCACATTAGGAGGAAGCCACAATCCATCCTTAGTGGTTACTGTGTGGGTGGCCCCACAAAGAAAATTACGCACACCACTTCCAATATTTATATATGTGCATCTTCCTTGGTTCAGGCAGCAGCCTGGCTGGGTCCTGCCATGGGTCAGTGCTCTAAATGGAGGGAGATGATGCATCTTCCTACCTGAGTCCCAGCATTCCATGGGTTCCCTCATAAACCCAGATCTGAGATGAATTGTAGAAGGAGACAGGGGCCAGCAGCACCCCAAACTTCCAGGATTGTTTTCCTGAGGAAAGGAGGTCAGTGAAAGCTCGCATAGACTCCGACCCACCGCTTCTGTGCTCCGTGAGGCCACATACACTTTTGGAAAATTTTACTAAGTAAGTAACTAATTGTACCCCTTTATCCTAACTTATCTTTCTGGAAACTCATCGAGCTTTCAGAAAGTGGTGGGGACAAGCATTCGAGACTTCTTCAGTGGAAGTGCACACCTTTAATGCCATTCAGGTCTAACCCAGCCTCCCCTCCAGGAGGGTACTGTGGCTCACACAGTAGTTGCTTTTTTCATTGCTGTGAGCAAATAACTGGCCAAAGACAGCATAAGAGATGGGGGTCGTTGTGCCCCCTAGTTAGAGGGCATAGGATCCATCATGGTGGGAGAGTCAGGTGTCTGAGGTAGCTAGCCATGTGTCTTCCACAGTCAGGAAGCAAAGCACAGACAGGAATTCGGGCTGGGCTTCCAAATTACTTCCTCCAGCTAGGCCCTAATTTGAGACACCCAATGTTAAGGCAACCTTCCAGAATAGTAACTAGCAACTGGGGACCGAGTGTCTAAACACACGAGCTGTGGGAGACATTCCACACTGAAACCTCGAGAGGGTTGATGAGGGCTGCGGACTGCACAGCCTGAGGTAGACTCTCTCTGTCTGCACTTGTCGGCTGAGTTCCCCCAGAAACCCCCTTAACCTGCATTTCAGAGATCTCATCTGTAATACAGTCACAGCGTCTGTCTTGTAGGGTGTTGCAAGGGTCCGGGCTGCGAGTGACTAGAGAGCTCTTTCCCAGCTCCTGGCACAGGTCAGCACTCTATGAAGACCTCTGTACCCAGTCTACTGAAAATATGGTCCTCTGACCAGCAGCTAAATCCCGGGGGGAGTCAGACCCAGCAGAGTCCTCTCTCAGGACCCTGCTCGGACCTACAGAACCAGTAAACACCTGAGGAAGAGGCTGGGGGATTCTTGGAGCGCTCTTATCTGAATGTACCCCCCAAACTGATGCTCACAGTGAGAACTAGGTCCCATTTGATTGTGGAAATCTGTTGACAGGAACGTGTTAGTGCCAAAAGATGTCATCACCAGGACACAGGACACACCACAGCTGGATTCACCCCACATCCTCCCCATCATTTCAATCCCAAAGGACTGCACTGTTCACACCCCAAACGACACTACTTGAGGGCTTGCTGACAGGCAGAGATGAAACAATGTGAAAAACGACACGAAAACAGGAGAAGTTAGTGATTTTCATCTTGTTTACACAGAGCAAGGACATTGCAATTCCTTTAGCTGGTCCTATAGTTTCGATTTTTGATTTTGCAGGAACCGACAGTGGCTGAAGAATCGGGAGCCTGGTAATTTGGGAAACCCGATGGGAGGAGAGCTTTGTGGTTTGGCTAAAAGGGCTTGAACTAGGAAACACTAGCCATCTCACTAATGTTAAGATTTATTTGTTCTTATTTTATGTGCATAGGTCTTTTGCCCGAATGCATGTCTGTGCACCACATGCATACAGTGTCCTCAGAGGCTGGAAGAGAGCGTCAGGTCTGGAACTGGAGTTACAGATGTCTGTGAGCTACCACGTAGGTGCTCAGCCAAAAGCAGCCGGTGCTCTTAACTACCAAACCATCTCCCCAGCCCTCAACACCGTTTTAATACCGTATACTTAGATCCTGTCCTGTATCCGTGTGCGGGAGGCACAGCATGACCCGAGGCCACACCACAACATCACACGTGTTTAGTGGTCACAGAAGCCGAAGCCTTTATTATCTCCAAGCGTCACAATCAAAGCAAGAAACAAATGATGTTTACTATCACGTTAGCAGGAACAATTCAAGCACGGGCCCTCCACCCCATATATTCAAGAGCAGGAAAACACAGACAGAGGGGAGGGCGCTAGCTGAAGTTGTCTAGGGCATGAAGGGATCTGGCAGTTGTCAGCAGCACACAGTGATGTACAGAATGCCTGTAGATCTCAGCCTGTGGTGGTGGGAGTGACTACTTTATGTGACAAGGTGCAGATGCTGCCAACAGGGTCACTGGACTTTAACAGCATGTCTAGCAAAAGAGCAAGAGTTGAAACACAGCCTCTCTCATAGACAATGTTGAAATAACCACTTGATAGACACAGTTACCAGGAGAGGGGAAAGGAGCTTGGGAGTCAGGAAGGAAGAGATCTGGAGGCAGACCCAGCTCTCAAGTCATCATCAATGACAACAAAGTGGTTTCTAGTGAAATGCACAACCTCCTGCAATCAGGGAAGCAACAGTAGAGACTTTTTTTTTTGAGTAACATCTACCTTGAAATGACTAGGTAGCAAAGTCCAAGGATGCAAAGGACCTCTCACTGGCCCCAATAGCACTTTGATTTATTAGGTTTTGAGGCTTAGATTTAATGAACGAAACCCCAACAATTGTGACAACCCTGACAATAACTCAGAAAGAAGGGGGTCACATCTCCATGCTATTTTCTTTTTGTAAGGGTAGGAGAAGGCTGGCACGCTATTTTCTTTTATGCAGGGGTAGGAGAAGGCTGGCATGCTATTTTCTTTTTGTAAGGGTAGGGGAAGGCTGGCAAGGATGTGAGTGCTGGAAGGGAGAAATGAGCATCACATTGTGTTTACACAGTCTTAACCACATGAATGGAAACTCAGTCTCTCACAGTTTGTGTGCAGAGCTCTCCATATAGCTGGAGGTGGTAGCCGTGAGCACGTTTGCTTGCTAGAGATCTGAGTGCTCATCCTGTTCACAAGAGCCCTCCTGTATGGCTGGCTTGAAGCACAGTTACTGGTACAAAGCAGAGGAGCAGGCAGGAATCATGAACCCTGGGTGCCCAGCAATGAGCACAGACGACACCCAGTGCAGCCTTCGCTGTTTCTTCCAGGGACCATGTGGGAGATCAGACTCCAACTTACCCACACGCAGATCTTCACAGACAGCCATTCGATGCCATCTTCCCTTTGCAAAGGGTCACCAGCTTAAAGATGAAGCCAAGCACAGCCATGGCTGTTAACATTCTGCATGTCTTTTCTGAGAGTTTTGTCTCAAGGCCCCTTGGCTAGCTATGGAGCACCTCCACCGGTACCCTAGCCCAAGTTCATGCCATTGCAGCCACAGAGAATCTCCTTGAATGTGTTGCGCAGCTCCAGACTGCGGAAGGCGTAGATGAGGGGGTCAATGACAGAGTTGCACATGATGAGGACCAGGTAGGTGTTGAAATGTGCCGTATAGCAGATACAGTAAGGGTTGGTCGGGCAGGTGATGATGAGGACCAGGTGTAGGAAGAAAGGTGCCCAGCAGAAGATGAACACCCCCAGCAGGATGGTGATGGTGACAGCCCCCTTCATGCACGAGTGCTGCTGTGGGGCCACCCCATGAGCCGGTGGCAACGCAGCGATGCGCTGGACATGTAGCCTGGCAAAGAGGAACATGTGGATGTACAGGGTGCCCATGAGAAGCACCATGGCGAAGAACATAGTGATGAGGCACACGATGACCATCTTGCTCTCGGAGTAGATGATGAACATCACACCGCAGATGCCACAGCAGACCCAGATGGCCACGATCAAGGTGAGGGCCTTCCTTACTGTCATGATGCTGTGGTAGCGAAGGGCATAGAAGATGGTAACATACCTGTCCACAGCGATGGCCAGGAGGTTGCAGATGGAGGCCACCAGGGAGATGCAGATCATAGAGTCGAAGATGTTGTCCATGTGCTGGATGAATTGGTCCTCCAAGGTCAGGGAGTCGCTGTTGATAATGGCGATCATGATGGTCTCTAGGGAGTTGGACACGCTCACCAGCATGTCAGCTGCAGCCAGGCTACAGAGAAAGAAGTACATGGGGGAGTGTAGGTTGCCATTCCTGACCACAGCCAGGATCACCAGGATGTTTTCCATCAGGCTGACGATGCCCAGCGCCAGGAAGACCTCGGGCTTGATGAAGACCTGCTCGCAGAACCCGCTGCCACTCCGGTTGCTGGCAGAAGGGGCTGCAGGGTGCTCTGAGAGGTTAGGCAGCATCGGATAAGCAGAGAACAGGCAGCACGAAGAATTCATGGCTAACAGAGGGGTGAGTCCCAGCTGCGGCTCCCGAGGGTCCTGAGCAAGCTGCTGGAAAACCCTCTCCTTCGAGGTGTTTCTCCTGTGGATGCTGTCCAGTCTAGACTTTTGTTTCTTGAGAGAGAGAGAGAGAGAGAGAGAGAGAGAGAGAGAGAGAGAGAGAGAGAGAGAGAGAGAGAGACTGGAGGCACAGAAAGAACTTTCCCTGCGTCTCCCACAATCAGTACAGACTCTGATCAGCCTGCCTCCGACCTTCTCTCTCTGCTGGGCTCTCTCACATCCCCACCCGACACCGGTTGCTACAGTTACAGCTGTACTCATAGCAAGGTAGGGATGTGGGACTTGACGCTAGAGAAGGGAGAGCACTCGGATTTTATGCATCGGAACTCCTACTTCATCTCCAGCGCAGCAAAATGACCACTGAGCAGCTGGCACAGTCTGACTGACAGCAGGTCTGGGCTCTGGGTTCCACTGGGGAGATGTGGAAGCAGACTGGCACCCTCTGCAGGCCGGACTTTTCACCTGCGCTCCTGCTGGAATAGTTCCGATCTGCCAGGTAAAGAGGGAACCACATTCATTCCTCTGTGAGTGCGTTTGGGGGTTGGTTTGGTCTTCGAAAAACAAAACTGCTGTGTGTCAGGTCTGCATTGGATGGAAGGGATACAAAAGGAAGCAAGAGAGGTGCTGTCCCAGCCTCGCAACCCCCCCCCCCCAACCAGAGTCTGGGGTGGAAAACGAGAAATCAGAGAATTGCACACACGTTGGCAATATTCCAGGCTTCACTCAGGAACTCCTCAGTTAAGCAAGTAATACAACGATTCGAGTTACACCAATTTTTTGTTTATTTCCAAGAACATATTAAAAAACACATCTGTACTAATAGTTCATTAAATGTACAATGTAGTATGTCTAAGACACACTATGCATGCCTCAATTTAAAAATAGTTTATTACTAAAACATGCCAACAATTCCCTGGGTCCTTCAAGGAGTCTCAATTGTTTTGCTATGAGAGGGGCATGTCTTGCTCCAATGTTGATGGCTTCTGATTGGTCAGGGTGTGATTTCTGAAGTTTGGCGAGTGTATGTATGTGTGTGAGGGGTGGGGGTGAAGGGGGGGATTGGTCATTTCTCCTTTCTAAGATACATAAACACCTGATGTAGGCTGATGTGAGCAGAAGTTTCCTGCTTGTGGAGAGTTGGAATGTGCAGATTCATATAGTTGGGTTACTATATGTTTTGGAGAAAGGGTCTCATGGATACCAGGCTGACTTTGAACTCACTATGTAGCCAAGGATAAGCCTAAACTTCCGATCTTCCGGTCTTTGTCTCCTGACTGCAGGGATTACAGGCATGTGCCACCACACCTTTGTGTCTGTGGTGCTGGGGATTGAACCATGGGCTTTATGCTTGTTAGGTAGGCACTCTAACTCCTGAGCCACATCTCCCAGCCTGACTTCGGCTATATTTATACTTTGGCTATATTTAATGCCCAACTCTGTGTGTGATGTAGTGTCCTGTGGCTATCACCGAACACGTGGAATTTGGGAATGTATTAAATTAGCAGATTGCTAGTTTTACCCACTCCAAAGGGAAGCATCTTATCACACAGCACTAGAAACCCAGAGCAAGAAATCCCCCACTTTTCTGTATCCTGCCTACAAGCCATCCCCACTAATAGATTTGAAAAAAAAAAACCCTGGATTTATTACTTTCTTTTATTTTGTATCTATAAAAACTCCAGGAAAACATTTACACACTGGAACCTGTTACTTGGGGCAGGCCAACTCCATATTCACCAGCTGTGGTTACTTATATTTGGCTCCAGAATAAACTACCTCTTATTCCCTTTGAGGTGAGAGTTATATTTTGTTTTGACACCAGGAAGCTTAGGCAGGAGTGTTTTGAGTTCAGGTCCTGCTTGAGCTAGAGTGAATTCAAGGCTAACCTGGGCAATTTAGTGAGACCCTGCCTCAAAATTAAAAAGTAAAATGAAGGCCGGGGATGCAGTTCAGTGGTGGAGCATGTGTCTAATATGTAAGGAGCCCCAGGGTCAATCCCCAGTGTTCCAGACCAAACCAAACATTGGACACCAATGAAGCCGCTGGACTCAAAGATTCTTCCTCTCAGCAGAGACTTTTCTCTGTGGTATTCATGCTCTTCCACAGCACTTGACTCACAGCAGAGCTTCTCTTCTTTGTTGCTTGATTTGCTAAATGGTATTATTATAAAAAACCCGGAACCAGCTATTGGTAAATGCTGAAAGATCAAAGAAACAAAGGAACAAGCCACTGCCACATCTCACCTCACCAACTCCTCAGCTTGAAAAGGCCTCAGCCGATAGGCCTCTAGCCAAATGAGCTTCCTCAACTGAAAAGGCTGAAAAACACTTTAGCTGAAAGGGACTCTTCTGCCAAAAAGCCTTTAGTTTCTGTCTCTTCACACCTTATATACCTTTCTCCGCCCAACCATCACTTTCTGGGATTAAAGGCACATGTGCTTCCCAAGCAAAGGCAAGAGATCTCAAGTGCTGGGATTAAAGGTGTGTGCCACTACTGCCTGGCTCTGTTTTCTCTCCTAGACTATGTCAATCTCATGTAGTCCAGGGTGGCTTTGAACTCACAGAGATCCAGATGGATCTCTGCCTCCTGAGTGGTAGGATTAAAGACGTGTGCCACCACTGCCTGGCCTCTATGTTTAATCTAGTGGCTTGTTCTGTCCTCTGATCTTCAGACACATTTTATTAGGGTACACAATGCATCACCACACTTCTTAGATGGGGATTGTTCCTCTCGGACCCTGCTGCTGACTGACTGGCTGGGTCTGTCTGGTACAGTACAGCACAGTGTGATGGACACACACAGTGTGATGGACACACACAGTGTGATGGACACACATCATCGAACTCTAGGAGCTCATGGGGCAAAGGGGAGGGGTTCTTACTTGAATGATCAAAGAACCTTCCTAGATTGAGGAATATGTAGGTGTTGACTTCTATGGAGAGGTGATACCCAGTGTCGGGGTTGGTGAGGGGGAGGCTGGGGCTGAAGAATGTAGACAAGGATCAAGGGAGGAGTTTCATCTGTCAGGGTTGACATAGAGGAGGGCTCTGGGGAGAGGGACTACCATGCTTGCAATCTAGAGGGAATAGCCATCGGTAGCACGTGGGCATGACGACCCCACTAGATCTCTGAATCAGAGTCACCCGGAGTAGTATGAGTCAGGGATGTACCATTTTGTCCAACTCCTCCATTTTTCTCAGCCTGTGACAATTCTCAAAACTATAGAAATTTGATACCCAGAACTTAAGTATCTCATTTCTCTACATTCTTCCCTCCCCGTGGACTCTCAGTAATGGCCAGCCAGGCGAGATGGTTATCGATCACCTGGCATTCTTTAACTGACTACTCACTGGTTACCCCTAGCAACGGCCAACTGTGGCCAAAATAAACTTTTCAATTCAAGTAGAAGAAAATTTAGAATATTCATAAAAACTTTGGGCTGAGGAAATCATTTTAAGATGGAACACCTCTGGGTTACTATGTAAACGACTGTTAAATGAAACCAGAAGACAAGCCAGGATGGGTTCCAAATTTCTCTCATAGACAAAGCCTCCTTCTGTGCTAATAGAAAACAGAGATTTGCTGGCTGAGAAAACTGGGTAGATGGTATGAATTAGAATTCACCTGAACAGAAATGTGAATGGATGATAAGTACATGAAAAGGTGTTAAACCATCAGGGAGGCAGGGAGATGCAGATCAAGATGGGATTTCAATACTGTTTCCCTTGTTGGATTGCAGGGAGTTAAAAAGCTGGCAAGCTCTGGAGAGCATGTGAGAACTCTCTCACTGTCTTTCCAGTGTTTGTAAACAGATCCACAAGCTGTCAGTTTCTGCTAAAACAAGACTGATCTGGGTTGGGAATCTCAGCCATTGAGCTGAGGGGTGTGAAATACCACTTTATTAATTTTCAACCTTTTTATGTAATTTCTGATCCTAAGCCACCATTGTTCCAGTGTGCAAGAAAGCAATCTCAAACTTTTGTTGACTTCTTGTCCTCCGGGTCACATCCAGAGGTGTGTTCATACCATCTAGGTTTGTGTGTTTGAGGGCACTAGTGTCATGGACAAAGCTGGGTCACAAGGCAGGCCTGTTTGGTACCTGTGAGGTTTTTTTTCTGTTCTGTATTTGGCTTGGGAACATGTCCTGGTTTCCATCCTCCAGTGTGCATGACCTTTGGGGGTAAAATGGGGACTTGCCACTTCCAACCTGCATCCTCAGGAGATAGTGCTTTAAAACTGCTTTTTAAAAAATCCCCAAACAAACAAACAAACAACAAAAAACACCTCAACACTGAATCCTCACTTGGGCCCACAAGGTAACTAAAAGATTGATGAAGGTGAGGCATCTCTGCCTTCATCTTGTGTCTGCCAACCTAATCAATCATAGTATTCAAGATTGATGACATAATGGGTAGCCACCTCAGACAACTCTTCACATTAAGAGTGAAGACTCAACAGAGTCACAGACTCCACTCTCTCCAGATGAGGGCCACTGTCCCTGAGGGTGAGGCTGCACCCCAGAGCTGAAGTAACCATCTTGTAGATTGGTGATCTCTAGGGATAACACCACCCCACAGCTGAGATAGATAGGCCAATGGTGAGCAAGATGACACCTTGGCCAGGACTACTTAATTATGCATACCTCTAGCCTCTATTTAACTTAAAGTTCAGTTCAGCACTTGAAAGATAAACTCTGGGTCACATTTTGGGTCACTTAATTATGCATACCTCTAGCCTCTATTTAACTTAAAGTTCAGTTCAGCACTCGAAAGATAGACTTTGGGTCACATCTCTGTCTTTCACTATTACATGTCTATTTTATTTTTTATGTATGTGTTTGTGTATGTGTGTGTATAAATGCAAAGTGCATGCATGTGTGCATATGGAGGCCAGTATTGTTTCTTAGGTGCTCAACACCTTGGTTTTGAGGCAGGGTTTCTCACCGACCTCATTTTGAGGCAGGGTCTCTCACCCACCTCGGAGTTTGTTCATTAGGCTAGGCTGGCTAGTCAGTAACCCCCAGGGATTAGATCTTCCTGCCTCTACCTCCCCATCACTGGGATTCCCATCATAAACCATGCCCAGATTTTTATGTATTCACAGGAGTTCAAAATCGGAGCCTCAGGCTTGTACAGCAAACACTTTCCTGACAGAGCCATCTCCCCATCTTGATTACTCAGCTCTTTAATTGGTGTATTGGACTGGGTGGCTGAGTCTGGACTGTTGCAGCTGTTGGCTGGAGCTTTGGGCCTAAAACTCTGGCTATATTCCAACTGCTAACAAGCAGTATGGGTCTCAAAACACCACCTCTCCCCTACATTCTGAGAGAACCATGCAGATGCAATTCTACATTTTAATAGAATCTTCTATAAATGAATTGGCTTTTTAAAATAATCACAAAACATGATGGTGTCTGATAGTGTTTGCCATGTGGTGCTGGCACATGTGGAGATTCTTGTTTTGAATCTGCGGTCATAAACCATCCTAAGAACTTAGAGTGGATTAGGAGAAAATCCACCCAGATGTT